CTGCCTCAACTGGACAATGTTTCCTGCGATACTGGCAACAAATCCTGTTCCAGCGAGTCCTGTTCCGAATGTTTCCGGCCCAGAGGCTACCTCGCATACTGAAGGACTGAAGGCGCAAGAGGGTCCAAGGGCGCCCAAGGGGGCCCCGTGACGGCCCAGGAAGCCCCCGAGGCCCCCTCGAGGCCCCCAAGACGGCATGAAAGGCTTGAAAGAGACTTGTAAGACGGCCCAAGAAGTGGAAAGCGAGTGTCACGAGGACCTAAGCCAATGCCCCATTTGTAAAAACGTCGTAGACGTTCCGTGGCACCCCGTAGCTTCTCTCATTCGATAGGTAAGAGGTAAGCAAGAAATAAGAACATGCAACATGGAAGGATGCGGTCGTTTCCTTTTTCCGACACTCGGGTGCGATAGTGCGCCGAGGATGGCGCAGTCATATGGAACGACGTCGCTCAAGCCCAAGCGGCGTCAGACGTAGGTGCTGCGCTCACCATGCTCGCGCTTGACTTCCGTTCCAAGCCAGGAGGGAAGAGCCGAGCGCCGAGCCAAGTCAACACTAAATCGCACTACAAGGAGGCAGCAGCAAGGTAACGGAGGGCGATATGTTTTCAGATCGCCCGCGCAAACAGTGACCAATACATGAGACGCACAGAGCAAGCCGCGGGAGACCTCTGCGCGCGGCTGGCAACGGCATTAAGGCTAGCAGTGGGAGACCCCCGCACACGTCTAGCCGCTCAAATGAAGCAGGCCCCCGCACCGCTCAAAATGAACAGCAGACTCGCCCAAATTACAACGGGAGTCCGAAGCAACCTTCAGACGCCAAAGCGCGCAATAAAAGGAAAAGACCGGGACCCAGCCGCCACTGGCGCGCAGCCTGTTATTGCACAGCCTTCGGCACGCCCGTCGGCCGTCAGATCACGCGCATCACGCCACGGCACGCCACGAACGACACCTCGGCCCACCTTCTGTCGCAACCAGCTGATATGTCCCAGCAGGGCACATTCAGCGCGCTGCTTCCGATCCTCACTGGAGAGGGACTTGAAGACCGACTCGGCGTAGATGGTGAAGACCGCCTTCTATGCTTAAAACGCCTATCTCTACGACATTATTGACTTGTGTCGGCGCGAGCGGCCCAGCCTTGAGCTCGCGTAGCGTCGCGACGACAGGACGCAAGTCCTCTCAACTTTTGGGTTGCTGCTAAACTTTCAGCAGAGTAGCTGGAGCACACCTGCAGTCGATGCGATTTGTATCACGCGTTAATTTGGCGCAATGCTGCCTGACCGCCACGCGCGGTTGCGATCGAACGCCCCCACCTCACGTTCGGGATCCATCACTGGAACGTACGAGAAGCGAGCCAGTCGTCGGCCATAAAGTGCCCGGCATGGAGATGCGCCGTTGAAGAGCGCAAGGGCATTGCAGACAAATCATCCGTCGAGCCAGAATCGTTTTTTTATTTGTAATACTTTGATATATATATATATATATATGTGAACTAAAAATCCCTTGATTTCCTCATCCATAACGTGTAGGGCATGTCTTAAAATGCCGCTGCATGCTTCAATGGCACAGGCATGTTGGCCTCTGGCGAGGACGCGAAGCCCCGTGCCGCTGGCTCTCAGCATAGACGTGGCGGCGCCGTTTTCCTGAGCGCCTCCGCTATCGGAGTGGAGTACCTGAGTTGGGCCACGTTGCAACCAGCACTGGTGATAGGCGCCAACGATGACATGCATCGCCTCGTCGGCTACCCGTTGGCCAGCTGCCCACCGAATGCGACGGTCGACGTTGTGAAACACAATATGTTGGTTGTAGAACAACAAAACACATTCGACTTCTTCGTTGAAACTACCTGGGAGGCAGATGGATGGCACAATCGCCTTGACAGGTCTCTCCCAGGCTCGACGCACGCGACGTGAGTCGCATACGCCATTGACTATGTCGAGGCGTACGGTGTCTAGCTCCAACTCTGAGAAAATCACGCGCATTTTCGGGTCGAAGCGCGAAGCCAACGCAGGTGGAGTTCGCACAGTTCCATCACCGCAAGAGCTGAATTGAAACTGCGTAGGTTCAAGACATACTTGGATGTCGAAGCGAGTCCGGTCCGGCAGTCCCGCGCGCGGCCGCGCCTCAGCCCCGGGCCGAGGCGGGGGCGCGAGCGCCGCCCTGCCCCCCCCCCACGTCGCCCCGCGACTCGCGGTAGGTCTGCGGAGCTGCCAGCACCAGTTCCTTCAGCCCCGTGGACTCCTCGAGTTACGTCGTAGCTGCTGGCGCCTGCTGTCGGATCAACACCGCCGGGGCTTCCACGCGTCGGCGGAGCGCACGCGGCCGCGCACGCCCCCCCCCCCCCCCCCGGGCCTCGGGGTTGCAAAGGGCACTGCTGGCGCAACTTCCACCGACGATGGCGCAGCCAGTGCGACCCGACCGAAGTTGTCTGGCAATTATCAGGGTTTGGTAGATCGACATTTGCCAGGCGTTAGCAGGTGGCCCCGCTGGCTAGTACCAGTGTCCTTCTTGCAACTTCCCAGTAATGAGGTTCCTCGTCAAACCACCGACACTGTCGTGGGCCGCGTTTCTGTCACAGCGAGTTCAC